CGTCCCCCTTCTCAAAAGGCGTTGTTCGTTTTTCGTGAAGATGTCACTAAACGCGAGAAAACAAGGAAACCCGCCGACCAGTCGTTACGTCATACACAGATCTTTCGGCCGCCAAGCTCGTGTCGCTCGTGTGGACAACGCGTACAACTGCCATCTTGCCAGGTATAGACGCTTTACACACGCGCCAGAATACAGCCGCCATTGCTGACCTTCTCTTTTTTTACCGAGATACCGAGCCACTGAAATTGGTGTGGACGAGCCTCCACAAAGGCCAATGCTGGGGAGAAAGACAGAATAAAATCTAGGATGGCAATGACCTCGCCTGCTATGGTAATAATGAAGTGAAGTAAACGTAATAAGGGGAAGCAAAAACTGAAGGTCAGTTATGGCGGCGCCCATGCACAGCTGCTGCAAAGCGTCTATAGAATTTACAAAAAAGAGCGTGTGGCCGGGGCCATTTTCAGCGTTCGCGCGCGTGTGCTTTGCTCGCTTTTCAAAGCGACGAACACACACGTGCTGGGCTGTGAAGATCGCACGCTGGGCTGTGATGTTGTAAACATTGGGAATGGACACTACCCAAGAATTACCCCGGTTGTTGCTTGCGTTGCAGTCTTTTTAATTGCATCACAGCTGAGTAGTACCTCTTAACATATTACGAATTGCTGAGATTGTGCTTGTCTACGGAATAAGCTGTGTGTAATAAACTGTTAGGAGATTTCAAAACAATCCCTTGTGTCTGTTTACCTTCCTTTTTGCAAACAACTTGGCGAGGGCACTTGCAAAGAGCTGGGCGAGTGCAACGATGGCCAAAAATCAGCATGACGGCCAACATTGGATCGGGTCGCGCTTCCAGTGTTGTCCAATATTACGCCGGTCTTCGCCAATGTGGGAGCACCTTGGCTGGAACCATGGTTTAGCGATGGCCCAACATTGGCACCAATGATGGGGCCGACATCGGCTGGAACGACGGCTGAACATTGGCACCGATCACTGGGGCAACATTGGAAAGGGTAGCGCTTCCAATATTGTCCAATATTGAGGCCGGTCTTTGCCAATGTTAGGCCAATGTCGGACCGACATTGGTGTGCTGCCTGGGTATATTCCCTCGCACTGGCACCAATCGTGACGTCCTTTTCTTATCTTTTTGAAAATAGCAAGAGTGCGCGTACATAGCTTTGATGGGTACTGAAGATGCACGAAAACAAAGATTCCGAAAACCCTGCATATGACGTCACGCTCAAAAAAAAAAAAAAGCTTCAACAATACTTTCTAAAAAAAAGTTTTTTTGCAGCTTCTGTGCATCAAATTTAAAAAAAAAAAAAACGATTTGTTAGAGATTAGCTTAGAACGTATCTCTGGCGTTAAAGGGATACTTCAACGAAATTTGCAATATTCTCGTCGTGTTCAAAAATAGGTTGAATATGATCCACAATATCCGTAAATGACAATCGCACGTTTGTATTTTGAGCCTGGTGGCTGTATTTTTCGTTATAAACGGCCCACTCTGGCAAGCGCTCGGAGAAGGCCCAGCTTAGAGCACGTGACATCCAACGCAATCGTGACGTAGGTCGTCTCAAGACGAGCAAAGCTACGGCGAGGCTGACGTCGAGAGGATGGCCTAGTCGTTCCAGCCACCGAAGCGGCTGCTTTTGTACGAATTTTGAGTGACGGGTTAATCTTCTATAATCTTCTAGGGGGACAATAGCGACTTCTGCGACACACAAAAGGGATTCTCGGGAAGAGGGGAGTTCCTCCTTCCCCCCTTCTCTCGTCGTGGCCGGAGACGAGACAACCTCCGTCACTAGCTGTCAAGGTTCCTAGACGAGCATTACAAACGAGGCGTTAGCGACATCCACCAGGTGCTCTTTGCTAATCGTTTAATTCGTTTTAAAATTCCTTTTCGAGACTTTTTTAACAAGATATCGGTATGTTCCATGTGATACTGCTCTTTTGAACACATAGAGACCCAAAAATGAGCGCCGAAATTTCGTTGTAGTATCCCTTTAAAGAGGAACGCCGCCGATTTTTCGAGCTACCTAGTCCAAAGGCATAATCTGAATGCGGATGCCTTCCTGATTCCGAAATGCTATCTCGTTCTCCCAGATTCACACTACTTAATTAAAAAAGTGCTATTTTGTTCACTGCCGAAACCGAAACATTGTTGTCCCTAGTTTTTCCCTAGTTTTCCCCGCCAGCCAAGCGTGACGTCACGGATGTGCAGCGAGGCGCGCGGCCGACAATCGGGTACGCTCGCGCCCGCCTTTCTCGCGTCTAACAGCGAGAAAACCTGGGCGTTCGTGCTAATTGAAGTTGATAATTATCTATATTTGCACAATGTATGACCTTGGCCTATGTGCTAAACTATAAAAATAAAAAAAAAATAAAAAAAATAAAAACGGGAGCAGTTGGAATTTTGATCAAACCGTTTTTCCAACTCGGTACGCTCAAACCGCGGCTCGCTAGTTTCGTGATATCGCTAGTAAATCCGTTCTATTTTTATTAAAAGATGGCTGGCAAAGAAAGGTCGAAGAGTCACGCAATACATTTTTTGAAAAAATTGCAAAAGCCCCACGGAAAATGCTCGGAATGTGGGTACACATGCCCGACACGCTCGTATAACCTAAAGGAACGTGCCATTTGTTTTAGATTTTCTTTAGAAAAGTTACTGTTGCAGGCGCCAGCACGTGTCACTACTCTTGTGGCATGAATATGCTGCTCGGTGCTTAAGTAATTTAGCAAAAGGTCAATAGACCATTTCTGAAAAGCACTTCTGGTCGATGCCATTTTCAGCGTTCTTGCGTGTGGCGCGTAAATTGCTCGCCTTCCAAAGCGACGAACATGTGCGTGCTGGGCTGGGACCCAACACAGGTAGACTGCGATTCTCGTAAATATGAAATGTATTGAATGGAATGAACTGCATTCTTATATATCATATGGCACGTTACTGGTCATGAAGATCGTGTTAAAATGGCAATTACAACAACTCTGTAACCACCAAGCCAAACATCAAGGGGGCAATGGAATGCGTATAAAATACACAAATACACTGTTCATCTTCATATAAATAATATTTGCTTGAAGATACCATAGTGTGTAAGGTACAGAAACACATCATAAAACTTTTAATTCAAAATAAGTTACCAAAAATTACTAAAACAATGTGTACCTTTTTTTTTTTTTTTTTTTTTAGTAGTAGTAGAATGCAACGCGTTTAAACACCCATCACCGAGAGCACATGGGAAGGGAGTAATTCTATATAATTCTATATCAGGCGGTCGGCGACCCTTGCGCACTTATTTTTGAGAGAAAAAAAAAAAAAAAGAGACTCTGCCGGTAGATTGTGCTGCAGCCACATGATTGAAAATATGCACCTTTACGATTTCTTTGATTTTTAGGCGGTATAATGTAACGGATAGGAGCATAGCCGCCTAGCTTTGGTTTGAGCTTCCGAGTGTGATTTTCTGTTCGTGTATTATTAAAATAAAACAAGATTAATCTCATAGTTGATGTCTCTCATATTCGTCTATCACCAGTATCCACAATCAGGAGCTCGCATGCGCTGTCAGCACCGGAGTTCTCGATCAACGCTCCCACATAGTTGCCACCAAAATTAACAAAATGCATATTCTACCTTTTATTCGTTGCCACAACAAATCTTTGGCAGCGCTAAAACTGCAGATGAATATTGTGCAACGTTTATTTCTTTTTCCATAAGAAAATCACGAGCAGAATGCAAAATATCAAGGCCGAAAATACCTGTAGTTGGCGATCACAGGAGCTTGGCTTTATTGTTTGCTACTGCCACCTTCTGCGTCATGTCTAACTTTCGATTGAATTGTGAGCGTCTGCAATTTCATGAAGGAAGCAATCGACAAGCCGTGCTTTATTTGCAAGTTCTGGTTTGCTTTGTTGCCGCACATATACTGAAACCTACCAGTGTGTAAAGAAAGGCTCGGGACTAAACAGATGTTCTGGTAGGAGGCCTCAACGTAGCCGAACACAAACACAAAAACAGGCCGCCTCCTTCAAATGACGAAGACATCTTCACATTGGTATTCTAATGCGGCGTTCCTTGCCTCGAGGTTTTTTTCACTCTGTTTGTTCAACAGCTCGCCTGCGCACGAAATCTCATTCCAGTGTGTACATAAACACATGACACCAGAGGAAGGAAGTTCACGGTATTTCAGTCCGAAAACAACCAAAATACAGCGGTCCATGTGCCGGAAATCACGCTAGACGCAGCCATTTTGTCGAGCTTTTTTGCCTTGGTGCCGAATGTCGAAGACTGCTAAAACTACGAAAGCCCGGCGGGCGTGTATTTACCTCAAAGGACTCAAAAAATATAATATTAATCAGGATATTATTACACTGGCAACAGTCGTTGGTAATACATTTTGTGAACACACACACAAAATATGTGTTTCAAGGTGTATCCGAAGGTACCGAGGCGTCAGACCGAGCGAGTCGGGCGGGCGGGCTTACAACGACAGAACCGCTTAGGGTGCCTCAATGTCCTTCTGTTTAGGGTGATGCCATCCTTTGTAGTACCAGATGCCGACAACACGCGCTCACGGGCAAAATACAAAGAAATCGACGAAAACAAAATGTCGCCATAGCACAGTCAGCGCCACAAGCGCGTGCAGGGACACGCTCTTTCACGCGCTTTTCAACAAAAAATAAAAATAAACATGTGTGACAAAATGGCGAGATGCCACCACCCTAAAGCAAAGCGCGCATGAAGGCACCCTAGAACCGCTACTCGGCGGTGGGCGCGTCACTTTTTTCTTGAAGCTTGGTGACGTTGGTTTCGATTTCGATTCTAACCGGAAGTGACGCGTAAAATATAGTCTTTAATTTAGTGGTTCAAGCCGGTTCGAACCGGTTTGAACCGTTATTTTTGCTCCTCGGAACTGAACCAAAAGCTGTGAACCCGAACTGAACTGACAAAAATATCGGTTCGACACTGGCCCTGGCTAGAGCCCTGGCTAACGATTGGCTATAGATTGGCCCTGGCGGAACTGACGCCATAGTACTCCCGCTTCTTGGTCGTCCCGCGCCGTGTATTCCTGATTTTGGTCCAGCTTCACTGTTTCAGCAATTATGCCGCGGCACTGCGCTGCAGAAGACTGCTCGAACAGCGTATGGTACAGCGGCAGGCCCGTGCATACGTTTCCGCGTGAGCCCACATTACGCAAGCTGTGGATTCGCGCGGCCCGTCCTTCCCAGCCAACGTGGAAGCCCGCCAAAGGCGCCTGTCTGTGCACGGAGCACTTCGCAGACGAGGACTACCAGAGGAGCCCAAAGTTACTGGAAAGTCTGGGCTTGCCTGTAAAACAGCTCAGGTTGAAGCCTGGCGTGGTGCCATCGCTTTTCACACGAAAACGCAAGCGAGAGCGGCACAGCGGCGCCGTGGAAAAACGGCGACGCAAAGAGGTGAGCACAGCTACGGGAATATGTGTCTGCTTGCTCCCGAGTGGAAACCAGGATAACTAAGTTTGACATTGTACATATTCCTTTTAAATAGTCATGGAAGTGACATTTTCACGTCTGATTGGTAGAGGCAAAAGTGACGTGATTTTCCTACAAAAATGCGGGCGGAGTCGGTTAAACCCACTGATCTCTATGCCTATTGGCTGGATCGCGTTTGCCCGCTCCGCGAATGCGGCCACTGGTGGCCATCTTTTTGGTAGAGTCATATTACCTCTAGCCAATGTACTATCGGGGAAAAATGAAATGCGAACAGAGGAGCGCGTGGCTCGCGGTACAGGCTGCGCCGCCTGGAAGTGAACCTATGGGCGAGGGTGCGTGGCCTACTTCGATCTGTTCACGCCCCTCGATTGGCGCTTCCCCAGCTTCGCCAGTGCGCCGCTCTGTGCGCTGAAAGCTGTCACCGCTATCTTTGCGTGCTCGGTGAGTGCGGCGAGCTTCTTTGCACTGCACGCGCTGAGCCAGCAAAGATAGCGGTGATAGCTTTCAGCGCACTAGGAGGCACACTGCTGAAGCTTGGGGAGCGCAGAGGGAGGGGCGTGAACACGTCGGAGTAGGCTACGCACCCTCGCTCCTTGGCTCACTTCCAGGCGGCGCAGCCTGTACCGCGAGCCACGCGCTCCTCTGTTCGCATTTCATTTTTCCCCGATAGTACAGTTGGTGCAGCCATTATCATCCATCCATGGCAGAGAGCGTTGTGGCAGTTGTGGTGGCAGGCTGCCATTACAATGGCTGTGGTTTATATTTCGTGCGTGATTGAAATTGTTCGACGAAACATATTGTTGAAACCCGACGTGAATGGTAGCCGGATCTTTGAGGACCTGGCGAAAGTTTCACGAAATCGCAGCACTGGGAAAAAGCAGAACAGCTCGCATCGAAAATCGCATCAGAGAAGCATCGAAAGCGGACGCCAGTACGGTGTCTGCTTTCGATACGAGCTGCACTGCTTTTCCCTGGTGCTGTGCTTTAGTAAAACTTTCGCCGGGTCCTCAAGGATGGGGCTGCCATTCACGCCGGGTTTCAAGAATCTGCTTCGTCGAACAACTTCAATCAAGCACGAAATATCACCCACTGTACAGTGTACTAGACCCACAGCTATTTTTATGGCAGCCTGCCGTCACAGTGCTGTCCGACATATTACTATGATGGCTAGAGATAATATAACTCTACCAAAAAGATGGCCGACTGTGCCCGCATTCCATCCAAACTGGTCAAACTAAGGCCCCTCTCTACTGAAAGGTAGCCCAAACCATTTTCTGAATTGGGGGAGAGAAATTCTCCTCGCCGATGCCCTTTCCCTCTCAAAAGTTCTCTTTCCCCTCACTTCAATTGGACCTGGCGCGACACGTGACCGTTGTCTTCCCATGATCCCGCGCGATTCCGTCTTCTGCTCGAAACCAACGCCATCACTGGGCGAGGCGTAGCGGTGGCTCCGTTGTTCGCGGCCCGGCCGTAGGTTTTCTTTAAATATATTTTACCACAACCTCGGCGGCAACGCGATGCCATCATGCTGTGCTGTAGGTCGCACAAACAGCATTGCGAAAGGAAAGGAGCTTTTTTGCCGTTTCGACGGGAAAGGAAAATCCTTAAAGGGGTACTCCGCCGATTTTTGAGCTACCTCAACTAACTATATTTTCTGACTCCCCGGCCTTTACCCTTTCTGGTATGCTATTTAGTATCGTGAAATTCCTTATAGTTATTGCGAAATCGGCAAATGAAAATGATGCAAAAACCAACATTCAAATATACCCGCTCTTTTTAGTGTTGTGACGTCAGTGGAAGGTCAGCTTGCCAGTCGGGCGAGCAGTCTAAAAAATAGAATATGCCAATCATTTGTTCCGTGCTGAAGCGCGGGCCCTGGAGCGAGCTTCCAAAGCATTCATTTGACACCATGAAACTGCTTCCAATCAGTTGGGAACAAATTCTACAGTCCAAAGAGTGAACCCCTGCACTTCCACTGACGTCACTTTTTCATTGTTGCCAGTAGAGACTTTGAGTTTGAAAAACACGGTGAGGACCAAAATTGTAAATTCAATAACTTTGTGAAAAAAAATTATTTTGACCTAATATTTGGGATACTATTTTGGCGATGTTGTTTGGCGAGTTTACCAAAATTTCAAGCAAATCGGGGACCATGAGGAAATCGGCGGAGTACCCCTTTAACAGCAAAGACAATGGCTCCACCGGATTGATCGGAAAAGTTTCGAGTGCCTCCGAGGGAGACTTTGCGAGGTAAAGCATTGTCAAACTCTGAATTGTATTACCTGTCTCTTTCGGTCTCGCCGATGAAGATCACCTAGTACGATCATGAGACGAGACAAACACGGAACTATATTACCGGCACGAAGGACTTTGAGATGTCTTTTACCGCATATTTGATATTGAAAACCAACTCGCTCGCTCTTAGCTCGCTTGCATTGAGTCGGCCGTGTTTGAGAATGATGCGTGAGAGACGAGGGCGCCACTGAAATAAAAAGGGTTGTAGTGTTACCGCGTGCATCTTGCGTCAGTGAAAGGAGAGTCACCAACGATCGAGCACCTCGCGATTTTGTTTGTGCAACATATTTCCGCGATCGGTGCTTCACAAATGGCAACTAAAAATATGCGATGCTGCATTTATTTTTCAGGATCACTTTACAAACGATCAGTTTGTGCCAGTGATCTTGGCAAAGACTGGCCTCAAGAAACTCAAGCCATATGCAGATTAATTCTTCCATTTTTTCACACCGACCTCTTCGGAATGTGCAATATTTTGCATTGTAGCAATACATATTTTCTTGTCTTCATCTTTGTAGGTGATTTCTACTTTTGTGATTAATAATACATCAATTATTTACAATAAAAAAATGGCTCTTGTATTTAGAAAGCTTTGCTGAAGGATCTCTGTCCTCGTTTTGTAACTCACGCTGTAAGGTACGCCTGCAGGTGTGCGGCAAAGCTTATACGCTTTGAGAGTGAACTCAAGGGTCTACCTTCCGTGTGCGAACGTCAAAACACTAATATATGTGATAAATGAGAAATGGGAACAAAATCTGGGTGGTCTCGATCGGACGACGGTTTCTCAGCACTTAAGCAAGCCTCAGGACAGAGATTGAAATGGAAGCCATACTTGCCTTCAAAAAAGTCCTTGCCGCACAAATGGTCGTCCTTGTGAGGCAACCATTCTTTTCGATCCACGGATATTATCCACCTTCTGCGCCTTTCAGAGTCTGCCGGGAACTTGTGGAAACTCACTCCGCTAATTTTTCTGTACCTTTCAGTGCAATTAACAACTACACAGCTTTGCGGCATGTTGGAATGCTATGACGTCCATGCAAAACGTGCGTCCTTCTGCCCACACCATCCAGCTCCAGCGCGATTGCAGCACTGCCGCAGCTCCGTGACGTCAATCCCGCGTGTCGGTCAATAACAATAAAGTCAACAATGTTTGAATGAAGCATTGGCTCGAGCCACCTAGTTACATTTCTGAGGTATGTTTATCTCTGCATTATACCGGGCCATTGCCACGAACAAGCTCTTCAGAGTCTGCCACCGTCTTTTAGGTCTACCTTGGCAAAGTCAGACTCATGTAGAAAACATATCAAACTTCTTCTTGGAGGCAACTTCGCAGTTCTCATTGCCAGCGCTTCCATGGAACCTTCAGAAAAAAGGGTCCCTGTCATTTCATCAACACCCGTTTCATTGACACTGATTGTTTCATCGACACTACCACACGGTGCTGTAAAGTTTCATTGACATATGAATTGCACACGGTAGAAACATTTCGTCGCGCGTTTATCACTGGGGCACAAGTTAAACTATCCGACCCACCCGTTCACAGCCCGTAATTAGGCAACAGTCTGTGGCAGTTCATTACAAGTATGTGAACCCACCTGTACATGCCACTTCGCAGCAGCGTGCACGGGTGGTCCCGTACCCGTGCACATACACATACCCTCGCTCACCAGCAGACCAGTGCACCCCTAACCAAAAAGAAAAATGTTGTCGACGAAACATAGCAAGATATAGGTCGATAAAATGAGTGTTGATGAAACAATCTGCCCATAAAACGTTGCAGTGTCAATGAAACAAACTGTCGGGGAAATGTTTGATGAAACGATGTACCACCACAGAAAAAGCCCGTTTCCGAGCCACGCTACTTCAACATCATTGCAACCGGCATCATTTTTAGATACCCATTGCCAGACAAAATGCACTCTAAACAGAAAAAAAAAACTAATGAATTTCATGTCTCTCCAAAGTTCACGACCTGGAATTGGATAAGGAGCAGCTGGTTCGTCTCCATCAGGCAAAGTGAAATAAATGGTTCTGGTCTGGACAAGGACTCGTTATCGCCGATATTGACGCAAAATTATGATGAGTACAGCGAGCTTGGGCCTGAGAGTTAAGGGTTAGCATGGGGCTCCCTAAGCTGAGGAGTACGGCGAGTGCACACTGACAGTGGGAAGCGACCACCTACCTATCTGATATAGTTTGCATCATTACGACCTCAGCCTGCAAAGGGCTCTGCATGATTCGTTGCATGGGATAACTTCTCAGCAACCCATTAGACGGATCCTACGATTCCTGCTCCAACAGTACATCCCCAGGCCTTCCAGGCAGCGACCCACTTGATTGAGTGCGAGAAGGGACCCCAAATCGTGACCTGCACCTATTTAACCTTTGGGCCAGCTTACAGGAGCACTACAGCAGCACCAACGGAAAAGAGGATCACGCCTGTTACAGACCACACCATCACAAAACCGAGGAACAGCTCCACTCATTCTAAACCAGTTTCAGAAGCCATTGAAGCACTCAAGATGGCCGTGCTCGCTGCCCACAGTGCTGACACACATTGTTGTTCTCATAATGGCCTCAATCATGTGAACGGCCACGGACGTCCCATTTATGTGTTAAAGCAGAGCACTAACAGTGATCTGGTGTGTCGTTTTTCTCAGACAAAAAAG